CTGCAAAGTTATTCCCTTTATTTCTTTATTGTTACAGACGCAGAAAGATATGGTCCCTCCCCCCTTGCCGTGGCTTTTCATATCGTTGGACTTAGGTACCAAAACCTAGAAAGAAAACCTAAGCCCTCTCAAATTGTAGTCAACTAATCATTGAAAGGAAAAAACCAAACACCAACCCCCTCAAAATTCTTCTACATATTACCCACTTGAGCGCACCACAGAAAGTAACAGAACAGATTCTTCTAGGAGGGTCATTATTAATACAAAAACCCCCATGTGGAGTATGGCCATTATATGCAGAATGGCAAATACTGAGTTCATATAATAATAAATTGAGTTCATCTACAACAGGCACAGAGAACAGTTCTTCCTTTCTTGCAGAAATGTCCTTCAGCCCCCTTCTCCTTATCCCACACATTTAACCCAAATTCTCACTCACTCTTCACAGACTACGCTTCCTAGACCTCAGAGCATCCTCTTATTCTCTTCAAGAAAGATAGGAAAGACTTGGAGAGAGTCCAGAAGTGTAATGCCCAAAGCTAGACATAGCATTCAAATTGAGCTTAACCAAAGCTTTGACAAGTGAAAGGATTACAGCATGTGCCTCGTAGGCTTCCTGCTTGTGTAACCTGTATGTTCAAGGCACTGCAATACCGCTGATTCACATCCAGCTCATAATTCACTCAGGCTCTGTGATGCCTTCTACCGCAACTGTTATCCATTCATTTTTACCCTAGCCAATAATTTATGTAGTTCCAATTATTTTCAGGTTTTTTGTGTCTTGTATAACACTATTTACTCAAAAAGAGATGATCTTTTTTAGGAATGTCACAAAAATTACACTGATAATAAGCAGCATCAATTTGCTTCTCTTTGTCACCTCACATGGACTCTAGGGATTTCCCAGGATCAACAGGCAATACTCTTAAAAATCACTGGCTGTAGAAATAAAATATGAATTTGTGCTAGTATATATATATATATATATATATATATATATATATATATATATATATATATATATATATATATATATA